AGATTAAGTTTAAAGCAGATAGCGTATGTGTGGTGGATGAGATTATGTTAATAGGAGATAGTGTCTGTGTAGTGGATGAGATTAAGTTTATAGGAGATAGTGTATGTGTAGTGGATGAGACTTAGTTCATAGCACAGAGTGTCTGAGTAGTTGGAAAAATTAAGTTGATAGCAGATAGTATCGGTGTAGTGGATACGAATAACTTTATTGCGTATAGTGTCTGTGTAGTTCCTGAGATTAAGTTGATAGCAGATAGCGTTTGTATCCTGGATCAGACTAAGTTTATTGCATATAGCAGCTGTGAAGTAGATTAATTAAGTTTATAGCCGATAGTGTCCGTGTAGTGGATAAGAGTATGTTTAAAGCAGATAGTGTCCATGTAGTGGATAAGAGTATGTTTAAAGCAGATAGTGTCCGTGTAGTGGATAAGAGTATATTCATAGCCGATAGTGTCTCTGTTGTGGATAAGATTATGTTCATAGCAGATGGTGTCTGTGTAGTGGATAAGATTTAGTTTAAAGCAGATAGCGTCCGTGTAGTTGATATGATTAAGCCTATAGCAGAATGCGTACGTGCGACTTAGCACTCCACATGGATGTATCATTATATAGAATAGCGTGCCACCAGAGCCTCTGGCAGAAAGTAATTATGAATTGCATGAATAGGTATTAACTGAAAAAACAGACAAGTAATTAAATCTATACTCACAATCCGGCGAAAGCCAGTGTTCCTGAATAGCCAGTATGTCCACTGAGTTTGGAATTTCACTATTTATACCACGTATACCATATAACATACCACGTACAATCCATGTAAGACTAAGAGTCATAATTAAAGACACAAGGGACATGATATGGAGTGGGACACTGGTTTCAGCCCTAATGCACGTTTTCTACTGACGTCGTTGCTTGTTATCACTGTACTGACCGTGCTTTTCATAGTTCCTGAAGCGCGGAACGTAGTCACGACATTCTATATCTTCAGGCCAGAACTTTTTGTCATCAATGACATAATCATAATCGTCACACGACATATTGACTTGAACTGTGTATGTCTCTGTATTGTCGTAGTGGACACGTTTCTTCAGCAGGCGTGCATGAGTAACACGTACGTGGCGTTCATGTGCGTAGTCAAAGATTAACTGTTTGACATCATCAAACGATTTGTCTGCCCTGATATTAGAGAGAACAACTCTTTTGGTCCGGACTCTTGAAACCCCTTCAAGTGTGTTGTAGGAATTAGCCAGTGACTTGATCTTGTAGGTGCCTGAAGGTTTATCAGAGTGACTTCCTGTGTGAGGATGGACAGGGTGAGAGTTGTCACCATCTACTATGCCGGAAAAAAACTAGACCATGGAATTTATCATTGTAGATGTTCCACAGAAGATCAGTGTTCGTCAAATCTACCATACGTGGTTTCTCCTTTGGTTTTGAAGTCGTTGTTTCTGATGTTGTATTTTTGTGAGATTATCTCCTTGTATGATCTGCTCTGTTTCTCAATCTTTTCGTTGTCATGACTGTTTGCGTTCGTTGTAGGTTGGGTGGGTGTGGGTTGGCACTGGGTAGTGTCAAGGGTGATCGTTGTTGATGCAGTTTGAGTCTGTTCAGTGGGTACATCAGTTGATTTTGGGGGCGATTTTACTGCGCTGGCATATGAGAGCTTCATCTTGGAAGTGACGTTGCCTATCTTATTATCAATAGTCTTTAGTTTGGTGTCTATTTCATAATTAAGACGAACTAGTTCAATTCATGCTCAAGCTCGTGAACTCTTTCCTTGAGAGTTTTAATTTCTTGTGAGTCGAGTTTGAGTTGTGCTCTTAATTCCGATCGTCTTAGTTCTGAATCTTCCAGCCTTTTAGCAAGGTCGTCAATTATCTTGCTCTTGTGGCCGATCTTGAGATCTTTTGGTGACAGGTCTTCATTCAGTTTCAACTCGATATCCGAGAGCTTCTTGACAGTGGACTTTGTAGCCTGTGGGACACACTGTTTAAGTTGCACGACATGACTCAGTATGAGCCCAATGACATCGGTATCGCCTGTTAGTTTTCGATCTGTATCAATGTTGTCGATGGAGTACATGTTCTGGTACACATCATTTAATATATCTTGTGCACATTTATCGAGGGCATTGCGAGCACCGCCATTTATATTTCGTCGTTTGACAATCGATCCTGGTGGAAAGTTGTCACAATTATCCTTTACATAATCGTATAAGCCCTCTCTGACGTGATTGATTTCCTTCATGCTTTTGTAGTAGATACCAAGTAAACTTTCCATGAATGATCGCTTTTCTTTGTGTCCAAGATTTTTCTTAATCTCCAGAGATATGGCTTTGTTCTGTTCATCGCTGGTCTGTGTACTGTCGACCTCGTCGGATTCTTCTATTGTTGGCCAATCAGTCCCCGAGCGCTCACTGTGCGTCTCTGGTGAAGACTCAATTGTTGGGCAGGCTTGGGTTGTTAACACATGCGTGGCGAGATAGTTTTGTTATTGCAAATAGCTTATTGCTGATAGCTAGTGTCTTTGCAGTGAATAAGATTAAGTTTATAGAAGATATTGTCTGTGTAGTTCATGGGATTAAGTTTATAGCAGATGGTGTCTGTGTAGTGGATTTGATTAAGTTTATAGCAGATAGCGTCTGTGTAGTGGATAACATTAGGTTTATTGTATATAGTGTCTGTGTAGTGAACAAGATTAAGTTTATAGCAGATAGCGTCCATGTAGTTGATGAGATTAAGTTTATAGCAGATGGTGTCTGTGTAGTGGATAATATTAAGTTTATAGCAGATAGTCTGATATTAAGTTTTTATCATATAATGGGTAGGTTTCTCGGCAGGATAAAGCCAACGGATAAAAACGATATCCGTTGGGGTCATATGCGGATAGAGATACAAATATCAAAGGTCAAGTAGGGACTACTTTCACTGTTTTTAAAAAAAACATGGCGTCGCCCTCGTCATTCGACGATCGAGTCAGAAATAACCATCGGGAATCTGGATAAACAACAGAGATAATTGCTATCATTATTAAAAGATCAGTCTATTATACTGAAAATCAGTGTCTAACTGTTACGTAGCGAAGGCATTTTATAAGTTTTGGCAACTTTGGAGAAACAATTTTGCGAGGGCACGAGGCCTAGTCAAGCGGGATCAGTAGTCATATCTGTGCTTGTAGACCTCTGCGGCTTGCAACCTTCTCCACAAATTAAAATAATTGGATTTTCCCGAAATATGTTTGAATTGTTAACTTGTTTCGTTTTGTCGCTGCGTGTACATCTGACTACACTTCTTAGCGTTATGACAGGACAGATCGACTGTCAACAACGTCTGACCGTGGCCGTGAAGTCTCGTAGACTAGGTTTAGAGTAGCTTCCCCATGACAAAGGGCAGTTACTCAAGCGGACAGACCGATGGATTGCCGCGAAAGGCAATTAAAAACAATTGTTGTTTTGCGTATATGTTGCTTCGCCACTGTATAAGAAACAGATTTCAGTTGGAACTATATTGGCTACTGTCACTGTCCGACTGACACATCACTTACCCTGTGACGTAATAAATATTAATGCGCGCATTCCAGGAAAACTCGCAATGTTTCGGTAATGTTTATGAGAGAGGGAAAGCGATTTTGAAACACAGAATAAAAAAAGGCAGTATTTGATTAAGAGGTTGTCACGCTTCTGTGTTTGGGGATGGTAAATATCCTGTATTAGGAATCAACATTATGTATTTAGCTCACCAAGGCTCGCTAAATGCAATGTTTATTCATAATGCAGGATATGGTGTCTGTGAAGTGAACAAGATTAAGTCTATAGCAGATAGCGTCCATGTAGTTGATGAGATTAAGTTTATAGCAGATGGTGTCTGTGTAGTGGATAAGATAAAGTTTATTGTATATAGTGTCTGGGAAGTGAACAAGATTAAGTTTATAGCAGATAGCGTCCATGTAGTTGATGAGATTAAGTTTATAGCAGATGGTGTCTGTGTAGTGGATAAGATAAAGTTGATTGTATATAGTGTCTGGGAAGTGAACAAGATTAAGTTTATAGCAGATAGCGTCCATGTAGTTGATGAGATTAAGTTTATAGCAGATAGCGTCCATGTAGTGGATAAGATAATGTTTATAAAAGATAGTGTGATATTAAATTTATTGCAGATTGTGTCTGTGCTTTGGATAAGATTAAGTTTTTAGCAGATATTGTCTGTGTAGGGACTAAGGTTATGTTTATAGCAGATAGCGTGATAGCAGATAGCGTGTAGTTGATGAGAATAAATGTATTGCAAATAGTGTCTGTAGTTGATGAGATTAAGTTTATAGGAAATTATGTCTGTATCGTGGTTAAGATAAGGTTCATAGCACTTTGTGTCTGTGAATTGGGTAATATTAAGTTGATAGCATATAGTATCTGTGTAGTTGATAAAATTAAGTTGATAGCAGATAGTGTCTGTGTAGTGGATTAGACTCAGTTTATAACATATAGAGTCTGTTTAGTGGATTAGATTAAGTTGAGAGAAGATATTGTCTGTGTTGTTGATGAGATTAAGTTTATAGCAGAAAGTGTCTGTGTAGTGGATAAGATTAAGTTGATAGAAGATATTGTCTGTGTTGTTGATGAGATTAAGTTTATAGCAGATGGTGTCTGTGTAGTGGATAAGATTAAGTTGAGAGAAGATATTGTCTGTGTTGTTGATGAGATTAAGTTTATAGCAGAAAGTGTCTGTGTAGTGGATAAGATTAAGTTGATAGAAGATATTGTCTGTGTTGTTGATGAGATTAAGTTTATAGCAGATGGTGTCTGTGTAGTGGATTTGATTACGTTTATAGGAAATGTCGTCTGTGTCGTGGATGAGATTAAGTTTATAGCAGATGGTGTCTGTGTAGTGGATTTGATTACGTTTATAGGAAATGTCGTCTTTGTCGTGGATGAGATTAAGTTTATAGGAGATGGCGTCTGTGTCGTGGATGAGATTAAGTTCGGTGTTTACATCCTTGCTTCTGTTTCAGGAGTTGTTGTACGTCCACCACCCAATAGTTTAAAGCTGATGAGAAACACCGGACTAGCTTTGCATTGCCACGTCACCGAGACATCAGGAGGAAGAGATGTAACTGTAGAATGGCTGAGCTCCAAAGACGTATCGCCTTACGATCCAAAGAACGCACACAGGTAAAATAATTGAGGTTTAATTATAACCAATGTGTAACCGTAGAATGGCTGAGCTCCAAAGACGTATCGCCTTACGATCCAAAGAACGCACACAGGTAAAATAATTGAGGTTTAATTATAACCAATGTGTAACCGTAGAATGGCTGAGCTCCAAAGACGTATCGCCTTACGATCCAAAGAACGCACACAGGTAAAATAATTGAGGTTTAGTTATAACCAATGTGTAACCGTAGAATGGCTGAGCTCCAAAGACGTATCGCCTTACGATCCAAAGAACGCACACAGGTAAAATAATTGAGGTTTAGTTATAACCAATGTGTCTCTTTCTGCAGCAGGCCTATTTCTTTACCATACATCTGTTCTATTTCTGAATTCTAATATTTCCATTTATCGCAAATAAGTACATGCTATCTATCACTCCACCCTGGCTTACACTAGAGATAACTCTTGGGGGAGATCAAACAATGTCTCCTGGAAGCTATCGTTACAATGAATTTCATTACAATGCTTTTGCAGACCATTGTGACGCCATCGGTTACCATAACTCCACGAAGTCTCTACCACTGAAGGTTGCGTACTGTACCTTTTACAACCAAGGAACTGGTTATTACTGTTTATGTTGGAAGAATTATGTTGGATGACAGACAGAATCTGATTCAAACATATATATTTTTACAAATATGTGAGAATGGATTGGTGAACAAGCGAATCGCTTATGTGAATTCCGCTCCATGACGCATTTTACATCATGCAATTAATACATCATGCAATTAATACATCATGCAATTAATACATCATGCAATTCATACATCATACAATTAATACAACATGCAATTAATACATCATGCAAATAAAACATCATACAATTAATACATCATATAATTAATACATCATGCAATAAATTCATCATACAATTAATACATCATACAATAATACATCATACAATTAATACATCATACAATTACATCATGCAATTAATACATCATACAATTAATACATCATACAATTAATACATCATGCAATTAATACATCATGCAAATAATACATCATACAAATAATACATCATACAATTAATACACCATGCAAGTAATACATCAGTGAAAGTTAAATGTAACAAATGAATTTTAAGTACCAAAAAGCTAGATGTGTATACTTGATAAAAATATTTGCAGTTTCTTATCATTCAATTCATTTACTTAATTGAAAATCTGCCATTTTTTAAATATGAAGTTTTGAATAGAATCTAATATCTGGGTTTGATCTTCCTTGATCAAATACGAATTTCCGTACAGCACAGTTTGTGAAGAGTATGTGGGTAAAAATACATTTCATTTCAAAGAATATAGTAATTTGTACACACACACAGACACACACAGACAGACAGACACACACACAGACGCACACAGACACACAGACACACACAGACACACACACACACACACACACACACACACACATACACACACGCACGCACGCACGCACACACACATATTGTAAAGCATCGTCGGTTTGTCTTCATCGATGATCTACCATTCAAATGTTATTTCCTGCTCACAAAGGCATTGTTTTATATTGTTTATATTTTCTCGTAAACTAAGCCAGAAATAGCAATCAGGTGATCTGTCTCTTTGTGACATGGTTGATTGTGTGTCAGTGTTCACGATATCAATGCCTGGATGTATTTCACTAAGTACAGGTTGTCGTCATAAAGCTGTAACATCGCTGAATGCCGCGTTAAACAATATATCAATCATGTCATCAAAATTTCACTATGTCAACCACTTATCCTTCTAATCCATCCAAGGGGCGGTCGGGTAGCCTGGTGGTTAAAGCGTTCGCTCGTCACGCCGGAGACCCGGGTTCGATTCCCGACATGGGTACAATGTGTGAAGCCCATTTCTGGTGTCCCCCGCCGTGATATTGCTGGAATATTGCTAAGAGCGGCGTAAAACTATACTCACTCACTCACTCTAATCCATCCAAGGGGCGGTCGGGTAGCCTGGTGGTTCAAGCGTTCGCTCGTCTATTGCTTAGAGCGGCGTAAAACCATACTTACCCAATACAATCAGATCCAGTTGCCTTTTCGGTGTCCACGGACAGTAAAATATTCCTAACTTCACCTTTAATTAAAATTTCATTTACTCATAGATTATCAACTTTATCTAATTCTACGTACGGGAGGTGTATATCAGGATTACATACACGGGACTGGTCAACAAATACAAATATTGGAATTATCACTCAGCCTATCAATACAATTGAGGGAAATTGTCTCGATATAAATGGAATAACGTTAAAAGCGGCGTTAAACCCAACTCACTCACTCACTCGGGTGTTTGTTGCAGGTGCCACTGTTGGGACAGGATACGCCGAACACCTGGTGTCATCGCTCAGTGATAGTGATTCATAAATACAAGCTTATGATGTAGTTGGAACCTTACAATCGACTTTGCTTTTAGCAGATATTTAATGCATTTATTGGAAGGGTTTTATCTATATTGAAATGGCTGACGGCTTCCTTCTTACACTTAGACCGCCTCCGTGGTCTAATGGTAGAGCGTCCGCCCGGAGAGCGGAAGGTCCGGGGTTCGATCCCCAGCCGCGTCATACAAAAAGACGTTGAAAGATAGTTTTATGTGTTACCCTGTCTGGCGCTCGGCATTAAGGGCTATAACAACTACTGGTCGGCTCGGAGTCAGTATACTGTGTCTGAGTGGGATATTCATGTTAACCTGCGGCATGGTATCTCAGTGTGCTAGCTCTATAAAACGGCATCAGTCCGGACTAGTACAAGCAGCCACACACACACACACATGCATGCACGTCGCCATATAAGTGCAATAATCTTGGAAGCGACGTTAAACCCCATTTCACCTCACTCTGAATGTGCATATCCGATGTTTTTTTAGTATTTTGTTAATATTAAGTTGTTCCGGGCATTTAGGCATGATATAATCAAACACCACATTGTCGTTGTACGGGTTCGAATCTCATTCAATGTCTTTGGAGATGGACCTTGAGCACAATTAAATAATTTCTTCTGATTTAGAAATTAAGGTGCTCATACGTTTTCAGAATACATAAGAATGCCTAAATTAAGTGTCATAACATTCCTTTTCGCATATTTATTCTGATAACTTTCATAGCTATTGCTATGTCTTGGGTACAGTGTGTGAAGCCCATTTCTGGTGTCCCCCGCCGTGATATTGCTCGAATATTGCTAAAAGCGGCGTAAAACCATACTCACTCACTCACTCATTTATAAGTTAGGTTTGCGACAAGGGTTTTCTTTACGGGTAAATTGAATAGGATTTAGTACTATCGGGAATTAATTTAACTTGCGCTCAAGCAGCCCATTCGCTTTTTCTTTCTTTTGACGACAAAGACACAAATCATGTCAAATTTTCTTTAAGACTGTTACAACCTTACTGTCCCTTTCACATATTCACATGGATGAAACGACAAATGCAGGTGTATTTCTCGGTGAACTTGTGAAGAACATTCAAGACAGATGAAAATATAAATATTTTTATGAATTATTTCTCGGTGAACTTGTGAAGAACATTCAAGACAGATGAAAATATAAATATTTTTATGAATTATTTCTCGGTGAACTTGTGAAGAACATTCAAGACAGATGAAAATATAAATACTTTTATGAATTATTTCTCGGTGAACTTGTGAAGAACATTCAAGACAGATGAAAATATAAATACTTTTATAAATTATTTCTCGGTGAAATTGTGAAGAAAATTCAAGACAGATGAAAATATAAATACTTTTATGAATTATTTCTCGGTGAACTTGTGAAGAACATTCAAGACAGATGAAAATATAAATATTTTTACGAATTATTTCTCGGTGAACTTGTGAAGAACATTCAAGACAGATGAAAATATAAATATTTTTACGAATTATTTCTCGGTGAACTTGTGAAGAACATTCAAGACAGATGAAAATATAAATATTTTTATGAATTATTTCTCGGTGAACTTGTGAAGAACATTCAAGACAGATGAAAATATAAATATTTTTATGAATTATTTTTCGGTGAAATTGTGAAGAAAATTCAAGACAGATGAAAATATAAATACTTTTATGAATTATTTCTCGGTGAACTTGTGAAGAACATTCAAGACAGATGAAAATATAAATACTTTTATGAATTATTTCTCGGTGAACTTGTGAAGAACATTCAAGACAGATGAAAATATAAATATTTTTATGAATTATTTTTCGGTGAAATTGTGAAGAAAATTCAAGACAGATGAAAATATAAATACTTTTATGAATTATTTCTCGGTGAACTTGTGAAGAACATTCAAGACAGATGAAAATACAAATACTTTTATGAATTATTTCTCGGTGAACTTGTGAAGAACATTTAAAACAGATGAAAATATAAATATTTATTATAACAAAATGTTCTTATAAAAAAATTAGTTAAGTCAATATATTCTAACTATTTCGATCGTTTCTCTCACTTCTGTCATTTCTTTTTTTCTTCTTTCCTGATTAAGATGACACGCTGTGATGTAGCTGAAGTCCTGCTCAAAATGGCATTAAACTGAAAATTGTAAATTGGTCATTTGTGTGGATTGGTCAACACAAGGTTTGGCCTCAACTGCGATGGAGAGGTGTCTGGTTCAGCGACGAACCAAGATTTTACCCCTGTCGAGGGGTTGGAGGAGCAGGGGTCTGCAGACGCCGGGTACAGCGTACAGGAAGTGGACAGGTTTGGTGGGGGTAGCGTTATGATGTGGGCGGTTATCTCTCATCATGGCAGGACAGGTTTGATCCATAACCAGGGCAATCTTTCAGCTCAACGATACATCAACGAAATTCTCCTTCCGCAAGTCCCTCCACTCACTCACTCTCTTATTTCTGCAGGATCTTCGCTCAGGAAACCTCGCTGGGGAGCACGCTGTACATTGACGACTTGTTAGATGAAGGCGGAAAACCACATACGTGTCGGGTCAGAATCGATGGGAACACCGTCGAACGAGACATATACCTCCCATTATATGGTAAAGGTTTATTGAAAATGTCTTGCTGATTTAGTACGCGTCAGTATTGTGCAGTTAATCCAGGGTTGGAGTTACATGCAACAGAGATGAAGGGATGACCCGGGCAGGAAATATATACACGAGTACTCGTTGGTCTTCTTTGATAGGCATTTAGAAGTTGGAGTACTACGTAAGGAAAAGAATCTCTGGATGAACAACTTCTTTATTACAATTAAGAGCAACGTTTCGGTGTATGTGATAACGGTGTTGGCATGTTGGTATATTTGGGGATTCGTTGGCATGGAACTGTATACACATTCAAATTTATATTCCCCGTATTTTCAAACACATTTCGCCGCTGAAACGTCATAATGTATGCTGATATTGTTAATGTAGTTGTATCATTAATGTTATCTTTGAAAAGCCTTTAGAAGTGATACACATAATGATTCCGAAATGTGTGTTCCTCATAATACCCATCGCTATGTGGCTGAAATATTGCGATGTAAACTTTAACTCACTCCTTATAATACAGAAGTTGACATCCATAAATTCTCTTCCTTATCATTAATGCATATTACTGGTGTTTAGTTGAATAATTATCGCTAACCCTGATCAATTTGTAATCCAATTGTGTGTACATTGGTCAATAGTGTGCACATTGGTCAATAGTGTGTACATTGGTCAATGGTGTGTACATTGGTCAATGGTGTGCACATTGGTCAATGGTGTGCACATTGGACATTAGTGTGCACATTGGTCAATAGTGTGTAAATTGGTCAATAGTGTGCACATTGGTCAATGGTGTGCACATTGGACATTAGTGTGCACATTTGTCAATGGTGTCAATAGTATGGTCATTGGCCTGCGATTTCTTCAAAAACAGAAACGCAATACGGACATTTTGGGCCAAAAGAGCAAAATAAGCGGACGAAGAGGTGCAAAATGAACAGGTTTAATGTGTTAATTTCCCGGATCAAAAGGATCACAACAAGGACGTGCAAACCATTAGTCGGGAAACACGCACGATGCGGAAAAACGCACCAAGTGCATTAACAAAATAGCCATGGAGCTGCACGTACTGAACGTGCACCAGCACTATGGAAGGTATTAATGTGCAGTGTTTTCGATTCCCTCGCATCAGCAACAGTGACAACAAGATGTCAAGATTAACAGAAGTGCAAAGAAACAACGTCATAGGCTGCTTGCAGGCAGGGGAATCACCATCAGTTGTAGCAAGGCTTTTCAATGTAGCGCCCAGCACCATCTCATGACTATGGGATCGGTTTCAACAGCAGGGGTCAACATATGATCGGCGTATGAGTAAAAAAACACCCCCGTCCAGGATCGCTACATCCGACTGCGCCACCTACGTGAAAAGAGGACCACAGCCACCGCAACCGCATCCCAAATACCCGGACTGCGCAGAATCACCGACCAGACCTTACGAAACCGTTTAAGAGCAGCAGGTCTACGAAAAAGACCTGTTCGACGCGTCATATGGAGTCAACAACGGCTGCATTGGTGTCGTCAACACAGGGTATGGCCTCAACTGCAATGGAGAGATGTCTGGTTCAGCGACAAACCAAGATTTCTCCTCCGTCGAGGGGATGGAGGAGCAGGGGTCTGCAGACGCCGGGAACTGCGTACAGGAAGTGGACAGGTTTGGTGGGGGTAGCGTTGTCATGTGGGCAACTATCTCTCATCATGGCAGGACAGGTTTGGTCCATATCCAGGGCAATCGTACAGCTCAACGATACATCAACGAAATTCTCCTTCCACAAGTCCTCCCAATTGCTGCCAACAGCAACGTTGATGGTCTCCCCTGGCCCTCCAGATCCCCGGATTTGAATCCGATAGAGCACCTGTGGAATGAGTTGGATAGACGGCTACGCCGACGTCAACCACAAACCCAGACGTTGCAGGCCGAGTGGGCTACTCATGTGATTCGCATACACGTCTCTTCCATGGGCAGGAGATGTCAGGCCGCTATCGATGCTAACTGGGGACATAAGAGTGTGAAATATTGCCCGTTAGTGTGTTCATTGGTCAGTGGTGTGAACATTGCCAATTTGTGTGAACATCAATCAGTGGTGTGCACACTGGTTAATAGTGTAAACATTGGTCATTGGTGCGTACATTCGTAATTGGTGTGTAAATTGGTCATTGTTGAGCACATGGATATTGGTGTGCACATTGGTCATTGGTGCGTACATTGGTCATTGGTGCGTACATTGGTCATTGGTGTGTAAATTGGTCATTGGTGCGTACATTGGTCATTGGTTTGTAAATTGGTCATTGTTGAGCACATGGTCATTGGTGCGTACATTGGCCATTGGTGTGTAAATTGGTCATTGTTGAGCACAAGGTTATTGGTGTGCACATTGGCCTCCGGTTTTGTCATAAATTTAAACATTGATCCGACACTTTGTGTGCACATTAAACAGTAATGTGAACATAGGCAATTTGTGTGAACATTAATAAGTTGCGTGAACATTGGCAATTTGTGTGAACATCAATCATTAGTCTGAACATTGCGAATTTGTGTGAACATTACTCAGTAATGTGAATATTGGTAATCTGCGTGAACATTTCTTAAGTAGGGTAAACATTGGCAATTTGTGTGAACATATCCAGTAGTGTGAACACTGGCAATTTGTGTGAACATTAATCAGTTGCGTAAACATTGGTAATGTGTGTGAACATTAAATAGTAGTGTGAACATTGCCAATGTGTGTGAACATTAATCAGTTTTGTGAATATTGGCAATTTGTGTGAGCATTAATCAGTTTTGTGAACATTGGTAATTTGTGTGAACATTACTCAGTGATGTGAACATTTGTAATTTATGTCAACATGAATCAGTTGCGTTAACCCTCTGGATGCCGAGTTTTTTTCTGACGCCAATTTTCCTAAGATCGGAAAAGTGAAGGTTGTGCGAGAATTGCGCTCACACGGCACTGGATCTACCTCTGGCTATAAAATTACGCAGAGGTGGAGAATATTAACTTTCCTGTTTGATGGTGTAAAGTTAACTGCAAATATTAATCCGGTTTTAAATAAATACACTTCTAAGTGTTGTTCGAGAATTTATTCTGCGTTGAAAAACAGTAAACTCCTCCGCATTTTATCGTACACCGATAAAAGTACTGTGCGATGATTTTTTTCATTTAGAAGCTTTACGGAAACTGTGAGGGAACAAAATACTGCCTACTATCTGAACGACGTAACTACATATTAAATGGAGCTATATGCGTATGAATAACGGCATACATCCAATGCCAAAAATAGCATGCCGTAAATGACGAAAACTGATTTTTCTCTGACGTCAAAAGGCCCCGGATAGGTTACACACGTACAAATAAAATGGGGGCATAACTCCGCTAAGCGTAGCACTAGTTTATTGTAACTCGGGTCGCTTGGGGAGAATTAGCTGTGGGTAAGGACAATTTATTTTCGTGGTGTTTTGTTCACGTGGAACCAAACTATTCCAACACAAATATCGATATTGAAACTGTATACGTTTAGTTATATAAAAAATCCCCATAAGAAATGATCAAATCGTACTTCATTAAAAATAGGTAATAGAGAAATGGATTGCCCTGTCTAACCTATAACTTAGTCCTTAGATTCCAACATTCTCCTGAATGTGTAAGTGTAATTTGACTAATGTTGCACCATTATTAATGGAGCACTAGCCTTATCATCAAATGTAATGAAATACCAAAAAAAATAACGTCATGCTATTTGACGTCATGGCTGGTTTTATGTCTTTGATAACGTCGGAGAAAGCAGCACTGGTATTTTGATTAATACATATCTCCCCTAATTTTCGTTCATGGTATGGAACATCTCGATGTGTAAAACGGAATTTGACGCTTTTTCGACACAATATAAATGACTGCTTTCACCATTAAATAATTTCTTGAATAAGTAAACAATTAAATAGTTCATCGTGTATCTTAATTGGACGAGACACGCACCTGTTAGGCATCAATGTACGTAATGAAATACTCAAAAGAATATTTCAAAACAACCAAAATTATCTTCAATATTGGACCAATATTTGTTCATCACTGTGTTATTTTTTCTCTTCATCTCCTCTCAGAATTACACAATAAAAGATGCGAAGAAAGCTCTTTTGGTATAGAATTTTCAGGATAATCGTATAAGGTTGAACCAACGGGGTACCTGGCATGGAGTTTATTATTTTAAACATTTTACAATTCCCGGAGAAATAAAGTAAACAGTATAATATCCTGTGATCACAATATTGAAAAATGAATGAAGCCATTGATTATATAATGCAAAACGAGAGGAATAATTCCTAAATTGTTTGTGACTAACGCGCACCTGGCGAATCGTTAGATATCACTGTTCTGTGTATCAAACGACATAAAAAACAATTCTAAGACCAAGACAATTTTTTCAGAAATCTGTGCATATATTTTAACGAAAAATATTATCCATTTTGTTAAAGTAATATATTCTGTTTTAGTTATAAAATAAAATGAAACCGCTATTCATGGACATTGGTTATATGAACTTATAATATTGACTATTACACATCCCAAGAAACACGTACATGCTGCAGTTACATTTACACTTCATCTTGTAACACTTGTCCAAAGGAAAGAAATATCGTATTCGACACTAAAAACCTATCAATTGTTATGTAAACAATGTTAAAAAACCAGGAGATTATGAAAGGTTCGTTCATACATGTTGTGGCCTCTATTTACGTATGATATCATATTGAACATTGACAAATATTCAAAGTGAAATTAATTGTGTGAAAAAATGTATAAAACATATGCAAAATCTACATCCCAGTGTACTGACACTGTAAACAGCATGGTACAATGACCGTGTGCACTCTCATTCAAGGACCTTCATCTCAAAGAAATTACCAAATATGTACAACAATGTTGACGTATGACATCACTACCTGTGACCGACTTTTACAAAATGGCGTGTTCACTGTCAACAATACGCGGGATTTTATGAGGTGACTTTCGTTGATTCAGAGATCGTATATACATAAATGTGACATGTAAGTAATCAGAAACATTCTGACAATCTATGTACTGTTATTTGTTGTTATAATTTTCATTGAAACAAACCGAAATAGTCAGAAATTCCGATAAATACTGTTGTCGTTGTGTGTGATTTTGCGTCAGTCATGGCGTCACACAGGACGGTAACTTTGACAAGTTCTGTTGAAAATATCAAAACATTACAATGTATCTATTTTAAATTCCCTTATTCTTCCTACGATTATCTTCCCATGCATATTTTGAAAATGTTGAGCCAATATCTTGAACGAAAAGACAAATAGATAGCTCAAAATAGGAGAAAATGCTACACTGTGTAAAATCTGTATTTTGCTTTTTTTACATTTCTAACAAGTGCAGTTTTTCGAGCACAGCGTTCGTTTTTACACCTAACTTATTTTGCTTGATTTAATCCAGCCACTTCGTATTGGTGACAAAGACCATTGGTCATTTGATTCTCAGATGTATGAGGAATTCAAGGATGTATGTATGGCAGCTAAGTTTGAAATATACGTGATGTTACAGGCTCCTCATAACCGGTGTACCTGACACGTGATTTTGTAAACACTATCCAATATGGCGGAAAGTTGACTTCGGCGTTCGTGTTTGCGTATTTTCCAAAACATTCGAAACGATTCTCGGGTTATCGGAGACGGTTTGGAATGATCATTGGTAATTTCATAAACGACAGATACCTATGATCACTAATATGCTATTTTTGAAATTCATTTCTCCGAGTAAATACCCGAAATTTAGATTTCAAAACATGCTGTAAATAACGCCGTGAGTGGTGATTTAGTTACATGTAAAAAATGGCGACATTTACAATGTACCTAATTTTCAGAGGTCATTTTCAGTACTTGTACTTGGCCTAAAATGCCAGTGAATGATATCACAGGGAATTCCCCACCTTATTCAAAACTGTGAAGCGTGTTAGTGTGCATGGTATCTTTTGAATTTTATTCGACTTCAAAGTGAGGGTTGTCTAGGAGGGACATATATGTTCCTGTGGCATCCAGGGGGTTAACATTGGTAATTTGTGTGAGCATTAATAAATGATGTGAACATTGCCAATTTGTGTGAACATTAATCAGTAGAGTGTACAAATTTATAAATAATGCGACAAAACCCTATTCTTATGAGATCCCTGCTAAAAGCAGAGAGATTCCGACTCTGTCATGAACATTTTATCCATTTTAGCTATAATTAAGGGTAACGCTATTTTTCAGGGCATTATCATTTGTAGAAGCCCGAGGTTTTCCATTAACTGCCCGACGAAGGAGAAACCTTGGGCTTCTGCAAAAAAGACCGCGTTACCGTTATTATAGCTAAAATGGATGGAATTTGTTATCAAATAAAAAGAAACAACAACATCGGTTTTGAAACATTTACTGCAATCAACAGGAATGTCAATGACCACATTTTACAAATATGGAAACGTCATAGAACAAACTAGATGACGTCACTATAATGCGTGACGTCATTTTCTCTTCCCTATGACGTCATTATCAAGTTACAGTGGCCAGCTCATTTCTGATAACGTGCGGGCGGTTTAATGATAATTCTATCCATTTTAGCTATAATGAACATCAACTTGACGTCACCTTATAACGGCCGTGATTATGGCCCGTTGTCAAACAATATGAGGTCATTATCAAGTTACAGTGGTCCGCTCATATAAGGGTAACGCTATTTTTCAGGGCCCCGTTCCACAAAGCGATCTTAGCACTAAGGTGATCGTGGACTTGTCCCATACTCTAACATAGGTTTACGATCATCGTAGCGCTAAGATCGCTTTGAGGAACGGGGCCCAGGTCATTATCATTTGCAAAAGCTCGAGGTCTTCTATTTAAGACCTTGGGCTTCTGCAAATGATAATGCCCTGAAAAACAGCGGTACCGTTATTAAAGCTAAATTGGATAGAATTTGTTATCAAATAAATATAAATAACAATATCGATTTTGAAACATTCAGCGCAATCAACATGAATTTCACTGACCCACCTTTACAGATATGGAAACGTCATAGAACAAACCAGATGACGTCACTATTGAACGTGACGTCACCTATCCCTATCCCAATGACGTCACCTAACAACGGGCGTGATAATGGCCCGTCGTCAAACAATTTGAGGTTATTATCAAGTTACAGTGGCCCGCTCATTTCTGATAACATGCGGGCGGTTTAATGCCCACTAAGTCATGCCAATCCATTCTCTTAAGACACGCCGCGATACGACTGGAATACTGTTAAAAGCGGCGTTAAACCCAACTCACTCACTCACAATTGTCATGGTTAATGTTGTGTGTTTCAGATACCCCCGAAAGCGTTATTGTTCCAGCGCAGGATAGCATGAGGCGAATGAAAGACGCTACTGCATCTATGTATTGCAAAACCAAGGGACTTTCAGACGAAGAATTGCAGGATGCCAAGTTCGAATGGCTGGACAAAAATGACAACATCATTGGACCTTACATTAGAAATGATCCCAGACACGACAGGTACTGTACTAACAGTTATAATAAATTATGAATATTTATGTTATTGTTACAGTGCATATATTGCCCCCCCCCCCCAAAAAAAAAAAATTAAAAAAAAAAAAAATCAGTGAACAGTTTAAGATTTAAAAATATATTAAATAATGTTTTAAATGTATATAACGGTTCTAAATATATGGACGTGACTCGGAAAATAAATTAGCCCGTAGTTGTGTTTCGGAAATTAGCTCCTTTGTTCGCATGCTGAAAAAGCTTCATTGGGTATTTACGCAAGCGGTTTTTATACATTTGAGTTTTTCTTTTAATGCATGCGTTTTGATCATCTCATTATTATTATTATCATTATTATTACTATTATTATAATTATTAATATTATTTTTATAATAATAATAATAATAATAATAATAATAATAATAATAATAATATTTCATTTCATTTCATTTCATTTCATTTCATTATCATCATCATCATTATTATTACATCACTGGACCTTACATTAAATATGATCCCAGACACGACAGGTACTGTACTAACAGTTATAATAAATTATGAATATTTATGTTTCTGTCTCTGCTGCTGAATGAAGTGTACCCTGGGAACGTTTCTGTAACCAGAAATGTACCCTCTCTGCGTAGCACTGGGCGAGTACATTGACAGGTGCGCGAAACTGGTTGCTCTACAGATAGAATTGCAAACCGCTGTAATGTCATGTTAGTACCTGTTTAAGTGGGAACTGTCGAGCTGCGCGAACCACATCAATCAACGATGTAGACTTTATACTTGAAGTGAGCCTGGAACCGGTTTTCTCGCCTTCTTGAAAGGCCTCATCCATCTCCACCAGGTCCTATATCGGACATTACAAGGATAACGTTTGTAAAATTCCTCACGTGTCTCTCAATATATGCCATTAAGGTACATTGTGTGTCCCAAGCTGGCTTCATACCTTTTGTGAAACTGGAAATTGTTTCGCGCAGTGTGAAAAAAGACCCTCTCTCGGCTGCCTCAGTGCTATTCCGTATTGGTAGATATTGGTAGGTTTTGGTAGATATTGGTAGAGTTTTGAATACAGGAAATACCCAGGGTAGATTGCTGTATCAGCCTCCGCGCCAACAACCCTTTCAAGGTTATTGCCATGGAAGCGTTGACATTTACGAGTCCCGTGATAGTATTCGAACCACGGACTTTCTGATCCGAGGTCAGACGCCTTTTCCACTTCGCCAAAGAGGCCAAAGTGTCATCTGTGGTATGACTCCACGTCCTGCTGCCTTCAAACAGAAGGTCGCATAGAAGGGTGCTGAGTCTTATTTCGCTCAAATTTGATATAAACGTGCTCAGTGGGATTCGAACAACCGAGCTGATTCGTGGCCGAGGATTAATAAGATTTCTGAATTCAGTAACAACAGTAACGTACATGTATTTGTTACATTAAGTCATTTCATTCAAATTTGTTTGGTATGATTATGTCTTATGATTATTTTAGGATGGAAGGTACAGTTACCAAATAAAATATGCTGAAATATCAATTCATTATGACCATATTTCATAATCTATTTTTTAAAGTAACCCTCCTTACATTAAAGATAACTATTTAAAGAATATAGTACTTAAAGACATTGCAACAAACCGAATAATCAGGGGGGAGACTTTATACTGAGGGGGGCGCGAAATATATCCGCCCGGGGGAGATTTTATTTCAGAATAGATTCTCCCGGGGAGAATCTGTACCGGTATAAAATCTCCGGGGGGAGAATTTGTACGGGGGAGAGTTTATACCGGGACACCGGAAGCCTTTGTCCACAAATGCAAAAGACCCTTCGGCAAGCTGAACGTAAGTATGTCATCTTGTGGACCACTCGACACACTACACCAGTATTAACATGTCCCTTGCCCCATGTTCTGTGTGCAGGGTCTACACACTGGCATTGACCGATGTTCTGTGTGCAGGGTCTACACACTGACATTGGCCGATGTTCTGTGTGCAGGGTCTACACACTGACATTGCCCCATGTTCTGTGTGCAGGGTCTACACACTGACATTGGCCCATGTTCTGTGTGCAGGGTCTACACACTGACATTGGCCGATGTTCTGTGTGCAGGGTCTACACACTGACATTGCCCCATGTTCTGTGTGCAGGGTCTACACACTGACATTGGCCGATGTTCTGTGTGCAGGGTCTACACACTGACATTGCCCCATGTTCTGTGAGCAGGGTCTACCCACTGACATTGCCCCATGTTCTGTGTGCAGGGTCTACACACTGACATTGCCCCATGTTCTGTGTGCAGGGTCCACACACTGACATTGCCCGATGTTCTGTGTGCAGGGTCTACACACTGACATTGCCCGATGTTCTGTGTGCAGGGTCTACACACTGACATTGCCCCATGTTCTGTGTGCAGGGTCTACACACTGACATTGCCCCATGTTCTGTGTGCAGGGTCTACACACTGACATTGCCCGATGCATCCCGTCTTCAGCTTGACCAGTTGACCAGTGGAGATCAGGGGACATACACCTGTAGATGTACAGTCGGAGGCAACATCATGATCAACGCCATTCAACTCATTATCTACGGTAATTGTGAACAGCGTGAATGAGTGAGTTTTGTTATAAATGTAGTAAACTGTATATCCGATTTTGCTCTCAGGGAGCGCCGCATAACCCACCTCACAGTTGCGGGACGTCGCAAGTATGTCTCATTGCGATCATTTGAATGTGGTTGCAAATTTTGCGACGTTTTTTTCATTCGGTTTGAAACACACTTGCAACTTGTAATACAGTAAACTACGGTTATAACGAACTCGAGGGGTCCACTAATTTTAGTTCGTAATAAACGTAGTTCGTTTTAAGCATACACACAGCATATATACAACAAATAGTCAGGACTAAAACATAAGTTCGTTATATCATTCAGTTCGTTATAAGCGTGTTCGTTACACACGTAGTATACTGTATATCCGAACTTATTTGTAAAGGAAGTTAGAACGATAGGAGTGCACCATTTAACCTTAGTAAAGAACAAAAACTGTTCAACACAAACAAGATCTTGTCTACATGTTTCTCACTGAGATTGTTCAACTAATGGTGTCGGATGCTAACAACCCAATTAGTTTACGATGATACTTCAAACTACAGGGTGCGATAACAATGATATCCCGGGGCACGTGAAATATCAGAAGGACAGGTCAAAAGCCGTAGTCCAGTAATTCAAATGTCCAGGTTCAACAAAATTGACGGAAAAGGTTTATTGCTGGGTTTTGGTGCCTTGGCACCTATACATTAAAATAAAAAAATAGTTTATCAAATTCGGACATGGGGAACCATCCGAAAAAAGGTCAAATCCAAGATGGCCGCCAACAAAAGTAATAATAGTCATAAACGTGGAACCAATAACAATAAAAAACATTTATGGTGAGTCTATCTATATAAGCTTGGCAGGATAAATGCAAAGGAATGTATATTTAACAATTTTGAAAGAAAAATTCACATGGAAATTTAAATAATGCTTCAAAATGACGAAAAAGTACATAAATTTGTTAATATCAGTAATTCTTGCAGAACATGAACCAATTTATTATCATGTTGACTTTTTATATATAAAATTATACAGTTTGTTGTCTTCACATAAATAACCAAGTTAGAAACAAATATAATTGAAAAAACACAAAGTATCCCCTTCTTCAAAATGGCGGCCGAGCAAACAGTGTTTTAAAGATAGACCTCAAGAACATAAAGGTATGTATAAGCTATTTTTCTTTTAAAGCTAATATGAAATCTTGTATAATATGTAGTTGATTGGCTCTAGAGAGGAATAACTGATGAAAATATGGACACTATGTTACTGGGTTAAAGATTCGTAGAGATACTGATCTTAGTTCACAGAGAAAAAGGTTACCGTATTCGACGTAATAAGCGCGCAGGGCGCTCTCAAAATAAGAAATAGGGGGCTCTTATTAGAATATAATTTTGGTGGAAAAAACAGAGTTGAAAGATAGATTTCGTGGTTTATGCTGACGGCCTGACTGTTTATATACGACAGATATATTTTTTCAGAATTTAATTGCACATAATTAAGAGTGCATATAACACACGAGTGAATATGAGTGAAAAAATAAGTCTTGTGTACATTGATCAATCGGAAGGGGTGCTAATTGGGATTGTTCACTTGCCAATATATTAGAAATAACGCCGTGGGCTCTTATTAGAGCGGGGCGTTTATTACGTCGAATACGGTATATGTGCATGTCTTCTGAGCACCTATAATTTAACGACGAAACGAATCACAAATCTAAGCAAGTTACTGTGGAAAATCTTTTATCGCTGATGCCTGTTTCATCATTGAAAGGCACACAGATAAAATTACAATATGACTTTGGAAGTATACAGTGTCCAATAATAATTGGGTTATTACAGTTTGCATTGTGTAACCAATATGTTCACACTCATGTCTTCATCACTCTATTGCACCCCCCCCCCCCAAAAAAAAACAAAAAAAATAAAAAAATAAATAAATAAAAATAAATAAAAATAAAATAATAATAAAAATAAAAATAAAAAATAAAAATAAAAATAATAACATAATAAATAAATAAAAATAAATAAATAAAGATTTAAGTTTAAGATTTAAAAATATATTAAATAACGTTTTAAATGTATCTAACGGTTCTAATTATATGGGCGTGACTCGGAAAGTAAATTAGCCCGTAATCGTAAAAGCTTCATTGTTGTTTCTTTACATTTAAGTTTTTCTTTTAATGCAAGCGTTTCTGTATGCAAGTTGA